GAAAAGGAGCGCTAGTTTAGAATAGGCCGTGCAGCGGACCTAGACGGAAGGTCGTGGACAAGGCCGTGCTTGTCCCCCTTCGCCACCGCTGGTCCACTCCGCTATTTGATATACATGGCAATCTATCATAACATTACAGTACCGAAGTACTGTAGCGGACTACTGTAGTGCAGGTCGGACTCCATTGTAACGCTGTCAGGCGTCGGGGCTGACAGCACACGTGTGCACGTCGCGCATAGAACATGTGGGTATGCTAGCATCACACACGTGTAGTACACGTGTGCACGTGTGTGTACGCGCCCCCGTACACATGGGGTACAAGCGCGGTACACGTGGTGTACACGTGTGCGCGCGCGCGGCTCGTATTGATCTCATCTAAATCTTCTTTTGAACCGCCGTTATGCTACAGTATTCTATCTTGTGCTTTCGAATGCCTCGTGTTGCTGTACTGTGAATATGACGAATAACCTCGTCGATTTTCAGAACGTCCTTTCGTCCCGATTTATTTTCAATGACTTGAGCGGCAAGATTGACATAAGAGGCAATTTTGGGTCGGGTATGGACAACCCGAGCCAGCTCCTACCGTTTAGAACGGTATTGTTTGTACGTGCAGTCAAGTTGTAGTTTTTTCGTCTTCGTGGCAAAACGCCTTTGGTGCGTAATGGATCCGTACTCTGTACGGTTGATAATCGACCGCATCCACGTTCGCCGGAATTGAAATCATTTCGATTACGGCGAATGTGGTTGAGTCTAATTCTCGTTTGTTTGGACCAAAGCGGGAGACCTTTTCGAATGCGGGGGTGCCAGTGCCGATGGTATCATCTACGTACGCACCGGTACTACCTGATATCTCGTCATGAAGTAACTTGAAAACAGAGAGAGGTTACTAGCGGTATGTGTCATATCGAGATCTTCCGTCAAGTGCCTGGTAAACGTGACGTGGCAATAGTCTCTTGAGTCTGAAATATCATATAGGAGCTTAAGAACGTGCAGAGACTGGTTCTTTGATAGCCTAAATTCGCGCAACGGTTTCACATAAACCTCTCGCATCAACTTGTCTGCTGATTGTAGGTAGGCTTGCGACACGTCCAGAGACCCGATGCAAAAACCGAAAATGGCTGCAATGCCCATTAGCACGCAAATAGTGGACTGGCGCAAATTTTTTCTGTCGTGTACCAATAGGTTCTTTCGATATCGTTATGCCCTTGGACAACATATCGCGCCTTGTAGACTTCTTGTTCAGTCTTTAATTTTTGATGGCGAGGACAAAATGACCGCCAAGAATATTTGCGTTTTCAGGAATACCTTTCTTACAAATAATTTCGTAAACTACGCGGCTGGCGAGTTCTTCCATCTCCTGCTTCTTTGGCATGTCAAAAATTACAGAATGTGCACGAGGATCGGCACGGTGTAAAACCTCAGTGACAAAATCGCTGGGGTCGATTGGATCGAAATTGGGCAATTCCGTCGAAAAGTCTTTGCAGCTCCTTATCTCCTTGGCATTGTGGTGCTGGAATAACCTGGGCACTTTTGAACTGTTTCTCCGTTCTCTTCCAGTCGACGTAAACCTTCTCGTTGATGATCCTTCGGACGGCATACAGACCTTTCCATTCGGGCTCATTTTCAAGGTGAACTAAAGCATCGTCGCCAGGTTCGATGTTGTACTTTGTCGCGAGTCGGAGTTTAGCCTTGATTGCATGTCTGATGCTCGGTCATAAAAATTGCACTAAACTCAGCAGAGTTTAGTGCAATTTTTATGACCGCTACCGTACCGGGCGGGCGTCAGGAGCCCTGCCCGACTACAGTAGTACGACGTTAACCGATACGGTACATACGTGGCCAGTACGTGTATAATTGGCCACGTGGGCACCCACGTGTAGTTATTGGCACCAGCTAGTGCAGTTTTACAAGTGGTGCGCGACTGATCCGCGGGTTAGTAGAGTAGTTTAATTCTAGTTTCCGTAAGCTACCGCAAGCTGGATACAGTGAGTACAGCTCCTGTAGTCCATCCGGAGCCACCGTCTCACTAGGGGGTATAGGATTGGGAGGTTCCGGGCTGGAGGTAAACTGAGGCATCCACCTCCCCTACTTCTAATCCAATCTGTCCTTTTCCGGTACGCCCAGTAAGGTATATAGACATCTAAAAGATGTTTGTTGGATGCATGGCCCTGGAAATGCTTAATAGATGCCTCAAAGAGACACCGTTTAAAGATAACTTTTGGATGTTGTTTGGATGCCCTTTAAATCTATTTTAGATCTTAGTTGGATCTTTTCAGGTACATTTTGGATGTTTATTGGCTCAGAACAGATGCATTCTGGATACATCATGGACGCTTGTGTACGCAGAGTCTGCCCCAATGGTGTCATGACAAGTGGTGCATTTGCGATGGTGCATTGCAACATACCCAAATTTGACAAGTGTCATTAGGAGAACGCCCGTTGCACAAGATAGATAGATTGATACGATTGGCTCTTGTTAGCTCATCTTTCATTCGCACTATTGGTTTACAAATGTGTTTACATTCTCATGTTTCCTGTCATTGTTGTAATTTCTGGATTCCCTGAGATTTCCTTGTGGGCGCGCGCACCTCTTCTTCCGCGGGGACGAAGAAACCGGGGCGGCCGGGCGGGCTAGGTTACAAGCGCCGGTTCATAGAGACAGCGCCCATGCCTTCCTTCCTGAAGGTTGGCGCGCACCCGATTTTGGCTGCGAACACGTCGCGCAACGCCCCCTCCAAGAACGTTCTTCGCGCGAAAGCACATCGCGCCTTCTCCGTCCTACATGCGTGCGAATGGGAGCGCAGCAGCACCGACGTCTCCCCCGCCACGCTCCGCGCGGCCGTGCGTGACTTGCCGACGGCCCAAGCCAACGCACGACGCGCAACCACGCAAGCCCTGCGCATGCCGCCGTGCGCCACAGTGCCGTGCTGGACTCGCTCCCCGGCTCAAACAAAGTCGCCACTCGTCATCATTAGAGCGCCGCACATCCCGCCGCGCCTCCCTTCAGCGGCAGCACGCACCTTCCACGCCCCATGCGGAACGCGGACGCCGCCCCCTGCGCTCAGTCATTATTCGTAGCATGTATTATTCCTGTTCAATAGTTGTCCGCGAGTTCAATGTATCAGAAAAACCATTGAAATGACACGATAGTCAGTGAATGTTTCTTGCAATGCAACCATGTTCAAATCAGAGAAATGAGTAACGCAGAAGTAATTATACGAAAACCCAAAAGGAGTGTACACCAGACATGACAAGAGGAGCAGTGCATAGAGATGTATTCTGTGTCAAATAGAGCAATATTTGTGAGGAGTTCTAGAGTCCGAAAAGATCTGATTGATTACGTACCAGAAAACGTCTCAGTTATGCCAGCGATTAGAAGGGAGGCACATATTTGCAAGTATCTGCAGTGCCAGAGTGAGCGGATCGGAGCGACTGCCGTTCCTGTAAATTGAGTATTGTACCATGTAAAACTGTGGAAATCAACAGATGCGACCGGAAAAGACAAACGGACCAATACCATAGGTGTCAGCAAGAGAGTTATGGGTTGAGAAGATCACTGGAAGGAGTTTAGAGCAACGTCGAATCTTATCACCTGAGTCAACGAAATTCACGCGCGATACCACAACCACAACTGAAACTGGAAATGACCCCTTTTCTACGTAACGATTCTCCTGATTCCCATCAAATCTTGTTTTGGTATGTCTCGAAAATAGTAGCTTGATTTGCGATCAACCAAGTACGTGCGATCACCAATATCCATAAACCCAAACAGCCTGTCGATGCAAGCGCATGTTTCCAAAGTTCGCGGTTTCCCGCGTCTCGAGTGCCCATTCTTATATAGCAGTTCCATCCTCTCATCCCTTATGATATCATATTCCCAATCGACGCGCACGAGGAAAAAAGTCTCAGTTATGTTTGACTCATCTACGAATACTGCAACTTCCCAAATCTCGTCAACGTATCCGAAAAAGGCCTGTACCGGGCTTTCACAATGTGCGCTTGAATCAGTGCTTTCATTCTCCGATTGAAACAACCCAAAGACGCAAAAGTTTTGTCTTGCGGTTCCGTCTCTCTCCCGGCGACGAAACTCCGTAGCTGTTTCAATCGTGAATCGCCGTCTTCCCGTAAAAGTTTCACTTTACTGTGAAGCCTTAGTCCACCTAGTCTGCAGTGCGCATAAAACTCCTTCGTGTTTGTCCGGAAGAACGCCAAGGCCTGGTCGCGACGACTAGCACTTTTTGTCTCCACACCCGCATGACTGGCTCGCGTCTCGAAGAAAGAGGAGACTGGTCCGTTCGGAGTTCGACCCTGATGGATTCCACCAGACAGCAACTTCAGGCACAGAAGGGTATGGCTTTTGTGGAACAAGTTCGTCTCTGGATGCTTACGTGACTTTGCTCTTCCCCCCATCTCCCCAACAAAGCGCTCCATGAAGAACTGCGAGACATTTCGCAATGGACCGAGAAGCAGTACAAAGCACGACGACTCGTAGATACTGATAAGAATGAGTGTGCTGGTGACGCGTTGCTCAACATGAGAATCGTCTTGCGAGATAGGGGCCGGATAGTTGCTGATGATACACGAATGATGGACAAATCCGTACAAATCCGTACAAATCAGTTTCCTCCGGATTGAAAAGGACGAAGTAGCCTTCGTTGACTGGATCACATTACTTGTGGTACTCACGAATTTGGACGGCAGCGAGAGCACAATTTTCGATATGCAGATAGAGAAAAGAAGTAGACAAACTCGATTAATTGTGCACTCATACCCAGCATCCAAATTAATTCCGGAATAGCAACCCGCAAGCACGTCGGTATACAACAGTGACGAGTAGAAAGCCAGAGCAAACCAATTGGTTTGCTCTGGCTTTCTACTGGAACCGGTAACGTGAAATGGACTCATGTTAGTGACAGTTCTCACCCAAAGCTTCCTTGCCGAGCCGCCGTGCGCACCTCGCAAACGTACATTTGAAACGGGTATTCCGGAACGATAAGAAGTTAGGTCGTTCCGAATATGGGCACATCCATTTCGCGATGCCACTGTAACACGGCCTGCATAGCCTGGTGCGGTGTCGGGAGCGCGTCCTTGCCAAGCTCATCCATCCTCTCATATGGCTCCCACTGTCCGACATGGATGGTCGCCCTTGCGCCCACGCCCTCTTCCACGAGCAAACGCACGCTAAACCAGTACATAGACTCGAGCGCGCGCACAGACGTAGTCCACTTACGCAAAAACACGAACGTATCAACAGAAACAAAAATAAGTCAGCACACAGGCCCAACACGCCTCTCAAAGAACACAAATTACATTAATCTCCTCCTACCATTGCGAAAATGGGGCTGCGGCTCTCCACGTGCCTACCCACTCTCTCCACGCAGGCCCTGCGCAAACTCATCAGCTCCGCATGCATATCATGGCCTCCGACAGTCTCCGCCGTAACCGGAGCAAAAGTGCCCGCGCCAACATGCAGCACGACGTCCTCCATCTGCACGCCTCGCTCCCGCCGCCGCTCCATAATGCGATCGGTCATATGCAAGCCAGCGGTCGGGGCAGCGGCGGACCCGGCCGTGGACGCGTACACGGTCTGGTAGTTCTCTTCGTCGTCCGGCTCTGCGTGGCGTTTGAGGTAGGGCGGGAGCGGGGTTTCTCCGACGTGGGCCAAGACGTCTGCCAGCGAGGCTCCGTGTTCGGGGCGGCGGGCTATGGGAAGCTCGAAGCGGACGGTGGTGGCCTGGCGCTCGCGCGCGAGGACGTGGGCGGCGACGGCGTCGCCCGCGCGCAGGACGAGGCGGTCTTGCGCGCGGACCTTTTTGCCGCGGATGTAGGCGCGCCAGACCTGGGCGTGGGGCGGGCGGCGCAGCGCGGCGGCGGGGTCGGCGTGCCGGTACGGGTGCAGCAGCATGAGCTCGGCCGGGGCACCGGTGGTGAGGTTGCGCATCGGGACGCGGGTCGGGACGACGCGCGAGGAGTTGAGGAGCAGCAAGGATTGCGCGGGGAGCAGCGCGGGCAGGTCGCGGAAGGATAGGTGGCGCGGCGGGGAGCGGGGATTCACAACGAGCAGGTTCGAGGAGGCGCGGTCGCGCAGTGGGTGCAGCGCTATGTGCGAGGTGGGGAGCGTGTAGTTTTACGTGCTGGCGGTGTGCGATTGCGCGCGCAGCAGGTGCGAGAGGAGGCGCCGGTGCCGGGCGGAGTGGGGGGGGGAAGGCATGGTGGGCGGAGGCTGGGGGGTGGGCGAAGCGAAGGCGTGTATAGGGAAGGGAAGGGGGGGATCAAGGTAAGGTGGCTTTGGAGGAAGCGGTGATCTGCCGGACACGGAGCACGAGGAGCAGATGGGCGGGGGGGTCCAGGAAGGACAGCTCAGAAAGGGTTTGGTCTCAAACCCTTTCTGAGCCTTGCTCCTGAGAGCAAGTGGAGGATTGGGCCTACAGTACCGTTGGTACTGTACGTTGCATTGCAGTCGCACATGCCGCATTTGCCCGGCATTTGATGGAAGTAGGCGAGTGGGCGTTTTGCTTTCCGGTGCATCCGGTACATCACGATCCGTCCACGTGGAAGCGACGTCACTTTCGGGGCACTTCCGCCTCCACGATGACCCGAACCTCAGCGATGCATCGCCGGGGCCCCTCTCCTCATGTCCATTCGCCCAGCCGACGCGTGGCGCGGCGCCACGCGTCCCAGCAACGAAAACGCAGCATTCAAGCGGTGAAGTCTATCCGCCCGTGCTCCGCCCCTCATAAAAGGGGGTCTGCTCCCCTCCCCCGCCCGCCATCTCCTCTCTCCGCACCAACCGCAACCACGCCCCCCCGGCTGCACCTGCACTACGCGCGGCTCGGCCTGTCGCCGGGCGCGACTGTAGTGCAATGCGCCTGTCGGGCAGAGACCGCGGTCCGATGGTCCAGCAAAAACAACAACAGCAACAAAAAGAAGAACTGCCGAGGGCACAGCGCTACGGAGTGTCCGACTCTCCCTTCTCCGTTTAAACGAGCTTGCGATTCGTAGTAGCTCAGATCCCTGATGGGGGGGGGGGGCACAGAGAAATAGCCCGGCCCGGGATCGGTGTGGTAGAGACTTGCGAAGAGATCTGCTCGACGAGTGTGGAGGGGGGCGCGTACGTAGGTACCCCGGTTCCACTGGGTTGTAAGGCCAATGCTCGTTGAGCTTCTTCGACACCTTGTAACGCGACAAGGCCCTCGACGGGGGAGTCGCAACGCAGCCCGACGGGATGAAATGAAAGTAGCAGCGCTACGTCAACCGTGCCGCCCGATGGCTCGAAACACCTACACCGGTTCGGTCGCAACCGACACCGATGGTACCAACACTGGCTCGTAATACGACGGAGCCCTTCGAGGGAGACGTCGTTGCAACAGTCTCCGTCGGAAAATGGGTCACAGTAGCAGCGCTACGTCAACTGTGTCGCCCGATGGCTCGAAACACCTACACCGGTTCGGTCGCAACCGAGGCCGATGGCACCAACACAAGATAAGGGAAAATAGGTAGAATTAGAGATAGAAAAGGATAGGGAAATAAAGGAAAGAGAAAAGGGAACCCCGAGCGATAGAGGATGCCGTAGGCTTAGGTAAAAGGGAGCGTCTTGGTAGAGACGGACTTCGACCAAGGCGACATTCAACTCCGGCAACTCGGGTTGGTTTATTGACTTGTTCGGTCAAAGGGCTAAGTTATATAGAGCCCCGCCGGGGCGAGTACAGTAGCTCCCGGCTCTAGATTCTATATCTAATCTAGTGTCAGCAAAATTAATGCCAACTAATTAACTAAATAAAATAAAATAATTAAAAATTAAAACTGTGCAATTATTCACACGTGTGTCCCCCAAACCCGGACTACTTTTCATATCCAAATGTTTTCCTTTCTTTTCACCCCCCTTTCCAGGTGCGTATTGCACTACATATCCCCCTTCTGAGCGCTCTCGCGCAGCGGCTTCACTCCCTTGCTTCCCAACTTCTTCCTTTTTCTTCCGACCATCGGTCACCGCTCGCGTGAGAGTAAGACGATCTCCATGTTTCCTTCATCGGATCCCACTGTCGGACACACCACCCGCGGTCGCCGCGGTGTGGGCTTCTCACACACGCCTTCCATTCCTAGCGACCTTCCTTCTATACCCCGACTTCCCCCGAACACCAACGTTCCTGAACCGGTCTTTCATCCCGATCTCCATCCTTCATCAGCCCCTTGTCGATACCCCTCACTAGCCGAGCTCCAAGGCAAATCCATGCGCGACTATCCCTTACTGTACGCGGCCACTCCTTGGTTTTCCGCCATCGACGTGCGCGACGTCACTAGCATCGTGTGGTATAACCCCAAACGGAAATTAGATTAGGATCGGATCAGGGACAGTAAGGCAACGAGCCTTACAGCCATGCGCGCTCACACGAGTCCTCCTCGTGTACGGGACGCGTACTACACGTGGAATGTAATCCCCGCCGGCTGACAGCGTTACAGTGTCGGTAGACCGGCACTACTGTAGAGTTATGATAGACTACAATGTACATTAAATATGAGCGGACCGCCGGCGGTGGAGGACGACAAGGAGGGACTTGTCAAGGATCCTCCACCTTGGTCCGCCCGCTTACTTTTAGGTACTTCCGTCCGTTTTACCTAGGAGTAGCACTGCGCGCGGGTTGAGGACGCGCGTGGCACGCCCACGAGCCGGCTCCGCCTCCGCCCGTCGGTACTGGATCGTCACCCAGTACCGCTCCGGGGCGTCGAGGCGTAGAACCGCTCGCGCGTGCGCGCGTCCTCCCCGATCCCGCTCTACCACCGCTACCTCGAGCCCGTGCTCGGTACCGTGGGTGGGCCGTGCTTCTGTCTTCCCGCCGATCGGGGTCTTTCCGAACTGTCAGTACTCACCCCCCTCGTCGTTGGGGGTGATTATACTACACATCGGGCGCGACTTTGCCGACGGGGCGGGGATGTTACCGGGTCACCTTCCCCTTCAAGCCATTTCCTCCTACGATTGGCGTGCCCGTGTCGCCATTCCCCCTTCTATCCTGCGTCGTTCCTCCCCTCGTGGCCGACAGGGACTATCCCTGCGGTTAATGGAAGCCGTCCTCGACCGCCTCGACCTATCCCTATCCGATGCCCTCATCCCTCCGTCCTTCGGATGTGACACGTGGAAGTTTCGCACGGAGGGGGAGCGTGATTACCTTGACAACCTCTTCAGCTGGACACGGGGTAACCCCGTGCTCGAGGCGGACCGCCTGTGGCATAACCAACTGACGGTGACTAACGATGCCCTGTCATACACGCGCGCAATCCTCCCCCTCAATTTCCGATATACGAAACGCGGGAACATCCCCTTCTTCCAGCATACGGTCCGATTCGAGCGTAAGATGAGATCGGACACGGGATATTTCCTAGCTTACCAAATGGTTGAGGCGGGGGAAGTTGCTCGGTCACACTATCCCAACCGGTACCAGCAACTCCCCTCGTGGTGGGGACAATTTGAGGTCTGCCAAGGGTTTTGGGCAGAGCTCGGTCCCATCCTTACCTACTTTGGAAGCCATCTCATTGATCCTCGTCACGGGTTGTGGGTTGTCTTTTTGACGGAGTGGTGCGTGAAGGTAGCCGCCACCTTGCTCTGGGAGGCGTACGATTGTTGGCGGCTTTGGTATCTTCCTCCGAAGCTCGTCGAGCTCATGTGCCTTTTGGACTATACTGTGCCCTTGGGCGGAGGTGACACCAACTTCGAACTGCACTCCTTACTCGAAAAGATCAATCAGGTCGACTGGGATGTTGTCCCCCCTATCAACTCATCCCGATCCTTCGCGAGGCGACGCCCGTCCTTTTCTCCCGGACGAAGTCACAGTGCGGCGGGCGACTTTGTCTGGTTCAACCCTTGGACATCCGCCTTGTGCTCTCCCTCCGAAGCGCGCCTCAGTCGCCAATTCGGCAACCAAGTTCCAACCCCTGACGTAGCTCCCCTACGAGCCGTAGATCCCCGCGCAGACGACGTTTGCCCCCGACCGTCTGCTCCAGATTCCCCTCTCCCTGCAGCCCCTGCCACTGCTCCTCCTGCTGTCGATATCCCCTCGGCAGGGCATACCGAAACTCTGTCGGTTAGGGAAGCGTTGTCTTCCCCACCGTCCCCATCAATTCCCAAAAAGAGCGACGGAGCCATTGACATCTACTGCACATTGCTCCGCGCTCATTGCATCGAAGGTGAAGCTCTCCAAGGGGCTTCCCTCGATGATTTGCGAGTCCTTGCTCGACTCGTTACCTCACTCCCAAAGGAAAAATCCTTGGGTGTGCCGCCCCAATGACCTGCCGCTTAGAGCGACTTCCCGTGATCCGTTCTCGGATTATTACCCGTTTGGGGTGACGTCTGGTTATTGACGTCATCCTGTAGCTTTTGGATAATAAAATGAATCACCTGCGTATCCCCCGTTACCTTCACTTTCCTCCTCTTTTTTTGTATGTGCCCCGCCTCTGCGGTCGCATCCCCATTCTGCCATTTCCTTCTCTTTTTCCTCGTCACATTTCCCTCCTCTTTTTTTTGTTGGCGTACCATCTCTGCGGTCGCATCCTCTTTCCCGATGGTGCCGATCTTCCCTCTTATTGATAATCCGTTTTACTCCTCCCTTGAGTTGCCCCAAGGGGTCCAACAAATGACAGCGATCAAGACACAAACTTGTCCCTCCATGCGCGTTCTTCTCCGCACACATTTCGCCCATTCGACCAATACGCAGAGGCTACGCAGGCTCTCACATATCTTTTCCCATCCTTTTGAGCTTGCTATAGCTATGTAGCGCCTTTAAAATAGAAAGCGTTGTGTGGAGCTTCTTCAGTCTCCCTCAAATACTCTCAACGAGACCGGGTACGCGTTCGTCTACAGTATGACGCAGAATGTCGCGCCCCTGTGATTGAAACAATAGTGAGTAATAAATTTTGTCCTCGTTGTACTTGGTCTCCTGTCCACTTCAC